GATTCGAGTCCCGTTTGGCGACTAGAATTTTTGCCGCCTCCACCGGTCCTCTGGCCCACTGTGCACCGCCGCGGCGCTTCGTATCATTAGTACCGCACTTGGCCGCGGAGTGAAAGGCGCTGGCGTCGCTAGTCGCGCCGGTGATTAGCGAACAAGGCGCGTCCGCCCGTTCGCGCCTCGCCGCGCAGCTAGCAGCGCGTGCCGGCGTTGGGGTCAGCCGAAAAAAAGAAACGCAGTGACGGGATTCGAACCCACGCCAAAGCGGCTTGATGACAGACAGCACACGCTTTCGCCGCGAAGGCTGACGTGCGGGCCGGCGGGCCGACTGTGCGAACAGTGCCGCTTCGCTGTGTCCCTCTCGGCTCGCCTAACTAGCAGTGCGAGAGAGACAGAGCGACGCGTCGCCCACTCTCCGCGCTCTGTGCGCCGCGCGCCGCGTGCGTTCAAATTTGTAGACTAACGCCGTTGCGCGCGGAGCAGCGCGGAGCGAATGCCGCTTTGTCCGAGTGGGCAGACTCCTTGTACAGGAACAACGAAGGTGCGAACGCGGCGCCGCGCGGCGGGTCGATGGCCAGCCGCCCAGAGAAAAGGATTCTTCGGGAGGGAAGGATGAGTCCCGCTTTTGAGTGGCGCCTTGGCTTTGCTTGGCTCTGCCGCAGCACAAGCGACTCAAGCGCGGAGAACCGAGTTGGAGGAGCGCTGTTTGTTGTGTGGTCCGCCTCGGCCGGGGAAAAAGTAGTGCGCTCCGACGTTTTACTGATGAGTCGAAAATTGTCGGAAAGCCTCGGTCGGTAAGCCACACCGGCCAGGCTGGGCCGGGCCCGGTGGAACGCGCCGCACAAAAACCGAAAACGAAGCGAGACGAAGCTCCAAAAAAGGACAAGCTCCAAAGCCAAAGAAGCGGCCGATCCTTTGCGTCCATCTCGTTTAGATGATGGGTGAGGCCCAGAGGCAGAGTGATCACTCTAAGTCTTTACTGCAGTGATCCTCAGAACACCGCTCTCGTCGCTCTGTCTCCCTCGCACTCGGGAAGCAGGGAAGCACAGGGTGCGAGAGAGACGAGGCGCTGGTGGCCAAATGGTGCTGGTGTCTAACAAGGGCTGTCGTGCAGTCTACCAGGTTCAATTGGCGATGAATCTACCCAAAAATATCCACGTAAAATGTGAATAAAATGACGTTGATGGGCTGCGAGGTGGGCCTCCTTGAGGTCCTCGCATTGAACGCCGTCGGTCGGACCAATCCATTTCTGGCTGGGCACAGCCACAGCGCGGTGGTGCTGCCACGCCATAGTCGGGATGGATCCGGTGACGATGACGATGGACGGCTGTCTTTCTCCAGAGGGGTCAGTGGCTTCTCCGCCGAACACAGACACACACACACACAAGCCGTTCGGGGAAAGATAGAGCAAGCATCGGGGCTTTATGAAGATCCTTTATCAAACGGTCCCAAGTCGGGAGAAAAATGCGTCTTGGTCCAGCCTCGGAGAGCCCCCCGCGGCGGCCCCGGATTTGTCACTCGCGGCGGGGCGTGGCGGGGCGCGGCGGGGCGCGGCGGGGCGCGGCGGGGCGCGGTGGGGCACATGTGTCAGGGATCATTCATCAAGGGGATCAAGCGCCCTGACCGTCCAAGCGTCAGGCAACCCGCGAAACAGCAAGCAGCCGACAGTGGGCCGCACCGAGGTGGACATGGCATGGGACTGAGTTTTGAGATCCGTTCCCCCTCCGCCGTGTCCGCGGCGCCGCGTGGTCCAACTCCGCCCGCGCTCCGCGTCTCGACAAAAAACGAAATCCCGGACGAAAGCCGGCGCGGCGTTCATAATTACGGCGAGGACATTGAAAGCCTTGATGCCGGACGCTCTGGACGCCACGACGGCCTGGCCAGCCCTGGCCACGTGCTCCAAAGTCCGGCAGCCAACAAAAGGCGCACTCGCCTTTATCCGCCGAGAGAAGTCTTCGTCGCTCTGTCTCTCTCGCACCTGCGCGGGGCGCCCCATGGGTGCGAGAGAGACAGAGCGACCGGCCGAGTGTCCGGGGTGGTGCTTCGGGCGGCATTGTGTCTCTTCCCAGCAAACGGCCGTAATAACAGAGTAATAACGGAGTAATAAGGGATTTGCTACTCGAGCCGAGCGCGAGCTGCGCCTGCACTGCAAAGGCCGGGTACTTGCAGTGGGCCGCCGCAAAAAAAGGAGGACCCGCAACGTAAAGGCGGTGGCAGTATAGCCGAATCGCGCCGAAGGCAGCCAAAGGCTGTGTGGCCTGGGCGTGGCTCCGTCTCTCTCGCACCCCTGCGGGCAGCGCCACGAGTGCGACGAGGACAGAGCGACCAAGCCCCGCCCCGCTCAGCCCCAGCCGAGGGGACGTTAAAGTTCGTCCACCGCCGCCTGATTGCCGGCTTTTTGGAGCGCTGCGCTGAGCTGCGCTGTCATCCGTTTGAAAAGGCGGTGTTTTGCCGGGCAAGTGGCTACCCGAGTAAAACATTACCAACATTACAACGCTGCTACCGTTAGCCTGCAACAGTGTGTAGTTAGCCGGCGCGTCCCCCCCCCAAGCCGTTTCAACTCTTTTCCGCCAAAAACCAGGGGCAATCTTCAGGCCTGCCAAACCAACAAAACCCAAACCGGCGGACGACTGCGCCTTGACGCCTCGCCACCTGCCGCTGCTAGATGGCGCCTCGGGGGGTTCCCCTTATGGCGGAGTGACTCTTCGCTCGGGCAGAAACGCAAGCACGAGGCCGTGTCATATTGAGCAGAAGTCAAACCTCCCGAAATGGTAGTCCGGCCACGTCGGCAATGCCTCTTTTACGGCGTGTCGCGTTTATGAGGGCAGTGGACGTGCCACTCCATGCGCCATGTGTTGGGGTGGGCTGTCCCTCCGGGCTGCCGCGGGCTGCCGGCCACACAGGAGCCGGGATTAGTATTTCAAGCGACTGAGGCATATTTCCACGCCCTGCATTCCAAGCAGTGCCTCATCCCCTGGGTGGCCCGGCCCCGCCGGGGTGACAAAATTCCGAAACGCGCGCGATTGGCGTATAGTTTTCCCCACCCATTTCCCCCGTCCGTCCAGCGGGCTGGCTCTGAAAAGTGGTTTCGTCGCTCTGTCTCTCTCGCACCCCGACGGAACGCCGCTCGAGTGCGAGAGAGACAGAGCGACGAAAGCGCTTCTGGCTGCCCCTCGGGGTTGATCGCATCCATCAGTGATCTGACGTGCGACGCCGCGCCCCGCGGCCCCGCCTTGAGGGCCCGCCCCGCCCCGCCCCGCCCCGCCCCGCCCCGCCCCGCCCCCAGCGCCACCTGGCTGCCTACCTCGCGGCGTTGCCTGGCGTCGCCCCGCCCAGCTGCCCCCGTGATCTCGCCTCCTTGATGAACCCCGCCTCCCTGGACGGCCTGGACGGCCTGGACGGCACGGCGGCGCCCTTTGCCAGCCGCTCTCTGCCAGCCACGGGCCGCCATAACCTCAAAACACTGGCGCTTTTATCCCGGATTCGGTCCCTCCCCTGCGGAGTGCCTGATGACTATCGGGCGGCCGCCACGCCCCGCCACGCCCCGCCACGCCCGACTTTTCATTCCCAGGTTACTTCTCCTCACCGCCTGCTGTTTGCCCTGGCGCTCGTGCGAGCATGCGGGGCCGTGGCCGCGGCGGCTGACTTGCAAGGCGGTGGCCGGCCGGCCCCACACGGCCCCACAGCACTAGAAGGCGAGGCCCGGTTCGGTTTTGGCGGCGACATTTCGAGGTTATGCATGCATAGCTCGTTTTCCCCGTGACGCCGTGACCAGCTCCGGGCGGCCAGTCACGCGCGTGCGAGGACCTGCCGATCGCTCTGTCTCTCTCGCACCACCGCGGCGCGGCCATGAGTGCGACAGAGAGAGAAAGACGTCCGTCCGGAATGTCCGGAAGCGGAACAATGAAGGATGGCGGTCGGCCCAGAGTCTGGCGCGAGCGAGCGCGAGCCAGGCCTTGCCTTCGCGGCGAGCAGAGACTTATCACATTATTGCGCATTCTACGCATGTCCGTCCGCCTGCCGCCCGTCTGTCTGTTCGCCCGGCCCGGCCGCCACACACTCAGAGCCATCAGCCTAATGACTTTAATTACGGAACCCCTTTTCTTTCCAGTGGCGTGGCGCGGCGACTCGCGACTTTGAGGCCTAAAAGTAAATCCGGTTTCTACAATTGATAGACGCGAGTCATCAATGCTGGCAGCAGACTCATTATCGGCGTGCCAATGCCTCCCAAGTCCAGCGAGCAGCTCAGCAAGTGGGGGGCCGGGTTCGAGTCCCGCTCGGTGCCGCGTTTTATTTTCTCTCCCACAACTGTCTTCAAACCACAAAAACGTCGCGGTCTCGACGGCGTGACCCTGCCGTGGGTGCGAGAGAGACAGCGCGACGGATTCGGCCTGCCGGCGGGGCAACCGACAAATTGCTGTGGCGCTCGAGGACCGTTCGATCCGAGATAAGGCTATCTGGGACCACAAAGGAGGCACGCGCGGACGACCGACGTCGCTCCGTCTCTCTCGCACTCGTGGGGCGCCCCGCGGGGTGCGAGAGAGACGGAGCGACGCCGCCTGCCAGGGCACTGCAAGGGCTTTGTCGACCGCAGCACAATGCGAGCCCCGTGTGCGAGCGCACAGCGCGCAGCCATGCAGCCGCGGCACTGCGAGTCTGTGACGTGGCGCAAACGAGCAGTGGGTCATTCGGGAAACACGTAACGCACAATAGGTCACGCTCGGCGCCCGGGCACTTATCCCGCAGCGATGCCAACCCTCGCGCCGTCTCGCTCGCGCCCCACGGAGCGCCCCGCGAGTGCGAGAGAGACGCGCGCCGCGGCGGACGGATCCGCGGGCGGCGCGCCAGACGCGGCGTCGACGCGGCGGCGGCGTCCCGTGCGCATGCGCGCGGCCCTGAGCGCCGGGCAGGCAGGCCTCCCCCCCTACACCGCTCGATGACGCGCCGCCGCGGCCGCCCGGCGGCGCATGCTGTTCAGCCGAGCGCTGGTCCCCCTCCATACAGTCAGGTTGGCCGAGTGGTCTAAGGCGTCAGATTTAAGCTCTGATCCCCTCATGGGGTCGTGGGTTCGAACCCCACACCTGACAGTAACTTTTTCTCGGCGGAGGCGGGCTCCGTGGCTGCAGCAGCACATTCGCCGTGCAGTGTAGGATCGTACAGTCGCACAGTCGGAGTGCTGGCCGCGCAGCGCGACTCCACACTTGCGTTTTTGTGGCCGACAGCGCAGCCTGTTCGCGGTTCCGGCGTAATCACATTAATGATCCCCTCGGCATAGAGGCCTTCCTTCCAATCACCGCCCTTGTGGCGGACCCGCCAGGCCGCCGCTGCACTAGATTTCTCGCGTATTATATTCGAAACACGACAAAAGCCACCCGCTGTGTGGAATTGTTACAGGCTGCAGCCCGCCGCCGAGCTACATGGTACCCGGTACGTGGCGGGGCGGGGCGGGGCGGGGCGTGTAATTGGTGCGCTGCCTAGTTTCTAAACACGGCGTGGTGCGGCGGGGCGGTGCGGGGCGGGGCGGGGTCGTTTTTGGCCGCGGCAAGAAGCCAATATAACACTTCTTGCAGTGTGGCGGCGTCGAGGCGGCAGCGCTAACCAGGGCATGACTGCGTGCGCGTCGCTCCACACCGATTTGTCCCAGGACCGGGGAATCCACTGTAGTATTGCGCGACGCTGCGGGCTGTCTCTCTCGCACCCATTCACGACGCCCTGTAAGCGCGAGAGAGACAGAGCGACAACTCTCGGAATGAATCCGCAGTGCGTCAGCGCGCGGGAAGGATAACGACCCGATTAATAATCTTTTCGCTGCGTGACGAAATCGCGATGCAGTGTAGGGCACCACGGCGTGTGTGTGAAACCACCGCGTTCAAAGATTCAAATTACGCCGCCCTGCATCTGATGCCTCCACGCGTCCCGTCAACTCCCTTTTAATGGATTAAAAACAATTACCGCGTGTATTAGCCGCGCGTCCGACGGCCGGCCATCGCTCACGCCGATAACCAGCGCAGCGCGCAGCCAGCGGCACAACGGCGCCAGCGCGGGAGATATGAGTGCGCGCTGCCGTGCTGCAAAAGGCGGGAACCTGTCGCTAGAACGCCACGCCACGCCGCGCCGCGCCGCGCTAGCCCGGACGCAGACGACGCCCCCTCCACCCCTGCCCCGCCGCCGCGGCTTTCGGCTGTAGGAATGACGCGGGCACAAAAAGTGATTTCAGTTTACTGGGAAGTCGAAAAACTAACCTTGAACTTGATCCGTAAGGGTTGGCACACGACGCCTGCCTCTGGCGAAGGACCGAAGTTTCCCGGAGTTGGCCAACCTGCGATCGTGCGAGTAGTGACAGGAGGGCACCGAGGGCAAACACACACACACCATGTCGACAGGCGCAGGCGCAGAAGTTTCGCGGTTTGGTCACATAACCTCACTTTTTCACACGCCCATTCCTGGCTGATGACACGCTGTTGTCGGGTTGAGACCACCTTTTTGTTGTTGGATGGCGGCGTTTGGAACTCCTGAGAGCCGAAGTACAGTCGGTCCATCTTCTGCTGCAGTGAGAACACACGCATCGTGGAAGTCGAAATCAACACAAAAACAATCGTCCGTCCGTCCGTCCGCCCGCCCCGCTGCCGCTTGGCTCATGGCGTCGCACGATTCAGAGGCGACCCTCGCAGTGTGCTCTCCGTTCGGCCGGAACAGCGCCGCAAAACACCTCCCGCTTGTCGCTGCGCCCTCCACGGCGAGGCGTGAGAGACGACGGCGGCGACGTGCTCTGTGGACACAGCCCTCGGCGCCGCCGCTCCACTGGCATGCACGCTGCCTCACGCCGGCACGCCGCGCACCGCGCGATTTCACCTCGGCGTCGAGCAGCCCTCGTCCCGCAGACTGATTCCGCGAGTCGCTCTGTCTCCCTCGCACGCACGGCGCGTCCCGTTCGGGTGCGAGTGAGACGGAGCGACGAATGCGACTCTCGGAATCGGTGTGCTGCTCCGTAATGGCGAACACGCGGCGGCGTCGGTGAGGACTCCGTCAAGTACGCGCCACCCACACGGACGTGCTGCCCCGCCCCGCCCCGCCCCTCCGCGGCTCCAACATTGCGCGGCGGCCACGGCGGCTGACTGGCGATGTCTTTCCGATGATTCCATTGTTTTGACGTGGCGGTGCTGGCCGTGCTGGCGGCCCTTGCGCCTCGTCGCTGGAGGAGGCATGCGCGTCGCGGCACGTACGTCAACACGTGTTTGGCGGCGTCCTCGGCGTCCTCGCGGTGCTCTGTCGATCGGCACAGTTCGCCGACGCCGCCGTCTGCCGGCCCGGCCCGGCCGTCGTGCTGGCAGCGCGTTGCCAGCTGGCCGCGCGCCGCGCCGCACCGCGCCAAGGGCCCTACCTGCCCATCATGACCGTCTTCGAGGCGGGGTGATCCAGCATGGGAGGTCGCCGTCGGCGGCACTGTCTCCAGAACCCCACTCGCGACGCTGGCCTGGAACACCTTTCTGGCGGTTCAAATTTGAACACACGCCTATTCTGTCCGTTTGCCTTCCCCGCACGGCGCGCGGCGCCGCCGAGGCCGGAACACACGTCAGCGCGCCGATACGTTTGTGCGTTCCTGCCAATGGGGTTCAATCTGTCCTCATATCTGATTCCCGGCATGCCCCGCTGGCGGCATGGCGCCTTATGACATAAACATTCCTGGGTCTCCCTGTCCGTCATCGCCATGGTGCCACTGGCTGGGTTCACGGCGTCCTGCGGGGGACCGTCCCGTGTCATGAACACACATGTCGATGGCGGCCTCCAAGGTGTGGCCGCGCACTGCGCGCACAGCCGTGAAGGAAAAGTATAAACCGTGCCGATGGCGGCAATAAAGCAATCCAAACAACTCAATCTGGATTTGTCATCGTTTGCTTCCGGTGGACTTCCGTCCTTCCACGCTGTGTCCGGGCCGTGTCCGTGATGACCACATTACCGCCAGCGCCTCCCCGGGTAGATTACCTTTTCGGCGGGAAAAACCAACTCAGACAAGGCGGTGCTCTCCAGACCTGAAATCACTTGTGACTCGTCCAAGTTCGGGGCACCCCTTCCCCTCCGCGCCTCGCCCCGCGAGTCCCTCAGACCGTGTCGCTGCCTCCCCCGCCGGGCCAGGCCGGGCCGCCGCCGTGCCGTCTATTTCCGAGGCCCGGTGTGTTATATTTGATATTAAAGCGATATTTATACAGCGTTTAGGCCCCGACGCGCCCGTCATACGAATACGAATCTTAATAGGGCGGCAGTCGGCGCGACGGCGGCGCACAATGGGGTGGAACGGGCGGAACGGTGTCGGATTGCGGTTCGCGTTCGGGCCGTCATATTAGTATTGGGATTGTGTGTTTGTGGCGCCGCCTTGCGCCGCTCTGCCGCCCTCCAGACAGGCGGGCCTTTCTCTGGCGAGCGATTCAGAGCCCCGTGAGTGCGAGAGAGACAGAGCGACGGCTGGCGTCGCATCGAGTTAATTGGCGTCTTTCTCACCATTTGTTTTCATCACGGCGGGAAGGGGGACGGGCGAAAATATGAAAATGTTGTGTTGAGGAATAGGGAAGGGGGACGCGGTTAATTTGGGCCAGACAGAGGGGGATCATTGAGACGGTGTTTGATAAAGCCACAATCGAGGCGCTGTGCGACTTCAAAGGCGGGCCTCGCCGAGGCGGAGCGCGGAGCGGTCGGTGCTCCATTCAAAATTCAAGTGTGCGACACGTACTGCCGCAACTACACCTTTGGAAATGCAGCCAAGTCTCAAATCGCTGTCACAAAAACGCACAGAGCCCCCGTTCGAAGGGCAATCCTATTCTTGTGTTGAATTCGAGCAGCCGCAGAGCTCGCGAAACGTGTCGAGGACTGGTGCACTAGTGCAGCTGGCCGATATTGGACTTGAGCCGCGCACTTACGGTGGGGGCCCGGAAGCTGGCCATCACCGACCGGAGCAGGCACGGTGGAGAAACAAGAAGGGAGGGCCGAAGAGGGCCGTGACGGCGAACGTTATTACACTGGACGAGGCGGAAAAACGTCGCCGGCGACGCCCTCCGTGAACGCCGTGAACGTGGAGCCTCGCGGACCAACGGGGAGGGGAGGGGGAAGCGACATTCGTTCCGTTTACATGCTTTTCGAACGGCGGGTGGAGGTGCCGCGGGAGACGCACCGCCGCGCCGGCCTGGCCTGGGCTGCGTTGGAGAGTGTTCCACGCGCGTCTCACTCCGCCCGTCGGGCTGAGCGGGCTGAGGGCGCGGCCGCGCAGTCCCCGAAGGACTGAAGGACGAAGGACGGGCCGTTCGCAGTGTGGCGGAACCGAATCAAAGTGCCCCAGTGCTGCGCTGCTCCGCCACATGAAGGGTGTCGATTCCCGCCCACGCGTCCGTCCTGCTATGACGCCGCTCACTCCCCCCCCCTCTCTCTCTGCTCTCTGTCTGTCCGTCCCTCTGTCTCTCTCTCCCCCCCTCTCTCTCTCTCTCCTTCATTCCGCACGTCCACGTAAGTCGGTAGCCAGACGTGATGCGGCGCGCACTTCCTTGCATTCCAGAAATCGAGATAGTGTCCCGCCTTGCCTACGAAACAGTGTGTCTGTGTGTGAGAGAGAGGGGGGGGGGGGACGAGGACAGGGAGAGTAGCAGCGGGGCCACGTGCGGACCCCTCCCCCCTCCCCCTCTCTCGAAGCCGCGGTTGCTTGCAGGTGCATAGCGTGAAGCCAAAACTGCAGCAAACTCGCTGAAAGCAAAGCAGCGCACACTTGCTTCCAATGTTCATGACTTTTCAAACGACAGCAACAAGAAAATTTTCCTTTATATTTTTTTTTCGGTTCGAAAATCGGAATAATTTGTGATTGATTAGTTAAACGTACTATTTACAGAGCAAAAATAATAAAACGTAATGTTTGTTTAAATTTTTTTTTGAAGGGGGGGGGCAGTTTCACCCGCAGGGAGCGGCAATAGCAATGCCGTCGGAATCTCTTAGACTCGTCTTCTCCTTGATGTCGCCGAGGATGTCGCGCTGGAGGTCGCTCCTCTATATCAGTCAGGGGTCAACAGACACACACACACACACCACACACACACACACACACACAGTG